ACTTGAACTACTAATTTTATTAAATTAATTATATTTCCTCTCATTAAGTCATCTATTTAAGGTATTAAGGTACATTAAATAAATGAGCTTTGTGTACATTTTTTTTTACTACAAGATCCCTTCTCATGAATTTGGTTCCTCTCGGGCAGAAACTGTAATTTAAAACACAATAAATTTAACTACTTAAATCTATATCCAATATTTTTAATAAACCAACATGAAAAATAAACCACCCTTTCCTTAGGGTGGTGTATAAGTAGTTTAGGCATATGTGTTAAATGGGTCAACCAATGGTTTCATAGTTAAATAATAATATTTAAAAAAATCAAAATATAAATATTACATATCTAATATTATATATTTATCATATTAAACAATAATAAAAATGATAAATAATAAGTATTTTTATAAATGATGGAAATGAAATACAAGATTTAAAACTGGCCCATAAAAGAAAACCATTTTCCTATTCAAGTGGTGGGCTAATGGTTCAACCTTCTAGGTGAAATGGGTCAACCCATGATGTCATAATTAAGTAATACAAAATTAAAAAAAAAAAGATAGAGACACAAAAAATAGAATAAAAAATAAGAGTTATTTTTATTAATTATAGAAATAGAATAAAAAAGTAAACTAACTTGAAAAGAAAACTGTTTTGCATTAGTGGTTAATGGTAGGGAATCCAATTGGGCGGGCTTAACTCAAACCCATACTGACCTAGCTTGCAATTTTAGACAGATTGGCTCGGATTTTGGTTCTCAAGCTGGGCCTAGGCCTTAGGTAGCCGAAGTTAGGCCTCATTACATACATGCATACAATTCTACACATATCTTTATGTCAAATTAATTTGTCTCTGGGCTTAATGACAAACCCAATGTTGAACCTAGTTGTGGTTTTAAGCCTTAGGCCTAATGTATAGGGTTGTGCCAGGCTTGAGTTTAAACTTTGAGTGACCTACTTGACTTGCACCATGATGGTCTAATCATTTAAGTAAAATGAGCCAACCAACTATGTCATAATTAAATAATAAAAAATACAAATAGATAAAAAATAAAATACAAAATACATAAAAATTGTAAAAAATTTTGACATATCTAAGATATTATAAATTTATCGTATTAAACAAAAATAAGTGTGATAAATAAGAAATCTTTTTAAAATTAATTATAATAGAAAATTTAAAGTTGACCAAAAATGAGTTCAAATTTTCTTTCATGTGAAATAGGTCAACAACAATGTGTGTTGTTGACCTATTTAATTAAATGAGTTCAATTTTTCTTTAAATCTGATAATTAAATGTGCGTTGTTGACCTATTTACATTTCGGTTTGACCAAAAATGAGTTCAAATTTTCTTTCATGTGAAATAGGTCAACAACAATCTGATAATTAAAATTGACCAAAAATGAGTTTAATTAACATTTCGGTTTGGCCATTTGTAAATCGAAAGCAGCGATGTGCGTCTATAAAATTTGTACACATTTTTAATATATTTATCATATTAAAAAAATAAATATGACATATAAGAAGTATTTTTATTAACAACGAAGATGAAATATAAAATTTAAATCCAATCACACTATACTTTGATTATTTATCTTTTTTAATTAATTAATGAGTTCTAATAAAAATTTTAAAATTATTATTTATCTAAAATTACTGCATACAAAACACATACATATTTACTAGTATCACGCATGACTTTTTAAAAAGGAGTTGGCGGGTCCATTTATTGCATGTCATTATATTCGAGTTCACATTTCGGCCCCACAAGGGACCATCCTACAACGTTCCACAGCACATCCCTGCTGTGCATTGAAAACATCCTCAATAATAATTTCATCGGAAGTGGTATTATCATCGGAAGATGTTACTAATACACGGCGGAGATGTGCTGTCTTCCCGTCGCCCCTTGTGGGGCAGAGATTTGAACTCATTACATGCATCCATCTGTGCCGATAGTTTTCAAAGTGTGATTAAATTACTTACGTATTTAATATGCTCTAATTAACTTATGTTTAGATATCCTTTCTTCCAATGAAAGGATAACTCACCAAACTCGCCAAATTGCCACGCTCAACAAGTTGATGTAATATTATATATTTTAGCCTTTTGCGTCTTCACTCTTTCGGTTTCAGTTTGATTCAATTTGGGTTCGTTGTATTAACCAAGGATGTATCATGTATGGACTATGGAGAGCTCGGGCAGTTGTTATTGGGTGGAAGAGTATTATCTTGGTGATCGAACACCACTACATTCAGTGATTATATGCATCAATTATTGAATTATTATATAGTACTATTTGCTTTAGTTGATGGAAACTTTCGATTACGTGCAGTGTTCGCTTTCAGCAACAAACATCATCGCCCCTTTCAATTTTTTTTTCCCGTAAATAATTTCCACTGTCAAACGAAAAAAATAAAAAAGATTAAAGGAAAATGACTGTTCAGCGTACAATTGAGATATATGCTAGTTTAAAATTAATATTAATATTTGAATGAGTATTGATGTTTTAAGATGAAGGTATTTATCATTTTGAATTATATAAGATTACAGTGGAATTGGAATTCAGAATTCTGTATAATGTGATATAATGCATTTTTCTAATTAATTTTCCGGTCCGGCATGTATAGAGACGTAGAGTTCAGTTCATTGATTCGCTTCAACTACAATTTAAAAAAGAAAAGGCCGGAGGAAATGAACTACTGTGCCTGATACATTTAATGGTCGATCGGTCACCTCAAAGCATCGGTTCAAACTTCAAACCACCCAGTAAGTTTGGCCACCGCCCACCGTCGTTGGTTCATTGTTCGGTGGGACAGAGTGAGGAAGGAAGCAGATCTAAGTATCTAATCTCTACTTCTCCTCGGTGTGAATGCCTTGGTTGAGCGGGGCCGACTTAGACTCTGCCCTACTCTGTCCTGTCTTGCCTTTGCTTGCCTGATTTCTGATTGATTCTTTTGACTCGTGATTGGACAACGTGAGTCGATGACAGTGGACCATGTATACGGCCGGTGTGGTCTGCTAAGCACTGGCGTCCCTTGTCTGCTTATATAATTGAGTCAGTTGCCACGAGGGCACCATTTCTTGATGCAAATTTGGAAGTGATTAAAAATAAGTGTTTATTTGCCTTTTGCAAATAAGCCCAAAAATGATAATTACTTATTTTTAAGTGTTTATTTCTTTTTAGACTTGACCTGCCCAATGTCATTTTGAAAATACATATATCATTCCTGATAAGTGTTTTTTCACCAAATGCTCGAAGAGTAATGTTTTAAAAATTGATCCGGAATTGAAATTCCTTTAGCCATTGGTTTTTTGGGTCAACGTTTTAATCATCTATTTTGAACGAATGGCCTATTGTAATTTAAAAAATAAAAAATAATTAAACAAAAAAAATGGCCAAAAACCATCAATGAATCAATCGTCCGGGTCAGTGAATTTATTGATCAAATCAACAATTTTTGGTAAATGACTGAATCAGGGGTAAAACAAAACCGGGTTGTCTAAACGATTTCTAAGCCGAACAATCTAACCATCTGGGTCAATGAGGGATCAAAAATCATGCTTATTAGGATAAATACTTATTTTTCAAATAATCACTCCAAAACTTAGCCCAATTAACCCAGATGCCAATGGTTCCGGGTTAGGTTCTTCGGGCATTAATTGGCATGCTTTTTGATTGTAAACACTACTCTATAAGGATTATGGAGAGACAGGCAGACAGACACCTGCATACTACTCAAAAAGAGTGAGAGATGAAAATATTAACAAAGGCGGCCATCAAATGGTTGACTCTTGAGGAGTGCATTTCCCCGAGTCCCACCCACTTTAACAAAGTTCGATCATTTCTGCTCCCTTGCTTCCATTATCATTATGTTGACGCTTTTGGCCTTTTCTTTTGAATTTTATTAGTGGCTGGTATGGTGGATGGTGGATGGTGGATGTTCTCTCCTCAAATCTCAATTATTATAAATTGAAACTTGAAAGGCAAGCTGGAATCTTTTGATTGTTTGATCATCTTTTGGCAAGTCATTTTGTTTCTTTCTCTTGATATAAACTTCTTTTTCCATAAAATAAAAAAAGGCCACTCCTGTCAAATGGCACATGGTGGTCAACTGAATCGGATTTGGTCCAATATGAATCCATTACAGATAGGCCAGTTCAATCCAATTTGATGCATACTTCGAATCATTTTGGACCAGTATAATTCAATGTGTGGATTGTCCAATCTATTCATATTGATTTTAATTTAGATTGGTTATTCAAACCTGGTCCATTAACACCTGCATTCTTATCTTTTATAAATCCATTACAAACAGACTAGGCCGAATCCAATCAAATAAATATTTTAGACCATTAAGTCTGGATTAGTTCAATTCAATATGTCTTATTAATCTATCCAATCTGCCCAACTTGATTTTGATTTGAATGGGGTCCAACCCAAAATGGGTCCATTCTTTAAGCAACTCGTTCACCGTAGGGCATTTGGGTTTCATGACAACCGATTCTTGTTGGGTAAGGGTTCACAATGGAGTATATTAACTTATTATGGGAATAATGCTGAGTGGTTGGATTGATGAAGACGAAATCTCAATTTTGCTGAGTCGGGTCGGATTCTGATCAGGTTTAGCTACCCCTAGCTACGGCCTTCTCCAGTCATGCATTCACATCTTGGGGAGCAACTGTAATTTATTCCCTTCATCACAAAAAAGACATGCTCTCACTACAGAATTTAGGTTGTGTTTGGTTTGAAAGAAAAAAAATAAGAATAGGAAGGAAAAGATAGGAAAACTTTTAAAAACCTAGTATAACTGAATAGATTTCCCTTACCTTTCCTTTCCTTTTCCTTCAAACCAAGCATAGCCTTATGTTAATTATTTTTCTTTCTTCTATTATTTTCCACTAAACAATAGATTGCTTCATCACGATATGACCCACCATCAGTAGACCAGTCCTGCATCAGTTTATATATGTATATGCCAACATTGTTCATCACATCTATCCTTCTCTGCTATCGAGATTTCACTCATTTTATCTCTCTCTCTTTCTCTCCCCAAATTAAGAAATGAGTTCTCTTGCAAAGAAACCTTATGCTTACTCAAAGCTGGAGATTGAAGACCCAGAAGAGAGAAAGCATCGACGGGCACAGTTCTTGATCAACAAAATACTGGAACAAGCTGATACCCGGAGAAGACAATCGTCTCTAAGAGTGAGAATATGCCGGTTAAAGGTAAAGATTGGGAAGAGGTTCAAGAGGCTGAGGAAGACTATGTTGCTCACCATTTCTACGGCTAGAGCTAGCTTGTACAGGCAAGTTCTGAGACAATTCATGAAGATGTGGAAGCGCTTGATTAGCGGCAGAGAGACCATAGTCAGTCTTCCTCCTCTGTTCACTTGAGCTTTTTCTTGTTTTTGCTTCTTCATCTTCTTCTTCTTCTTCTTCTTCTTCTACCTGCTATGTCAAGGTTCTGGCTTGTTACCATGAAACTGTCGTTTCTACCATTCTACCTCCCTATTCTGTCAAGCTTGCACAGAGAACAAGTTTTATTGGAAAATGCTTGCATTTCGCTAATTACTAATAGTTGAGCGTTTGTGCTGTGAGGACGTGGGTGTTTTATGAAATGGATCGATTATGCTAATTGATATATATACCGAAAATGAGGACATTGTTCTGCTCCAAAAAATCTAGCACCAATTTTTCTTCTATTACCAAGCAAACTAGCTTGCTTTTTGGATGTTTTCATTTCCAGGTTGAAACCAGTTGGTGCGGACTCTAAGAGAGACTCTACCAACCCACTCGGCCATTCATTGAGCCTCTGTATCCAGAGATCATCAGACACTGAAGTAAATCAAAGGAAGAAATTGATTTATAAGAAAAGGGGCATGAAGCTTAACCCTGTTCTGAGCATCTCAAGAATTAATCAAGGGGATTCCTATTTTATTAGCAATGTACAATTAATTCAGGTTGATTGGGCTAAAGCTTGCCAAGGGACAACGCATTTCCACTCAAATTAATTTAGTTATAAGGGGTTTTCTTTTATAAATTAAACCAAAGTCCTGTATAATATTAATTAAGGATCTGTTTGGTTCGCAGTAATACGGGTATGAAATCGGAATCAGAATGGCCCATGCTATTTGGTTGTATGGAATCCGAATTTAATTCCCAATTTTGGTAGAATGGCCCACTGTTTTCAAAACCGGACCAGACTGGATGGTCGGACCGGAAAAACTGGGAACCGGTCACCTGACTGGTTCCACTTTCCTCCAAAACCGCTTTTTCCTATAAAATCGTTGATTTTGGTCAGCAAACCGCTGAACCGGTTGATTAACCGTTCGAATTGTTCAAACCGTTCAAACGGTTTTGACCGTTTTCCAATTTTTTAATTTTTTTTTATTTATTTTTTGTCAGAATGGGCCAGTCATTCGGGTCAAACGGTCAGACCGTTTGAATCGATAACTGGACCCCTAACCAGTTTGTTTTTAAAAACCATGGAATGGCCATTCCACTTCCCTCTTGGGAATGAGTATCCCACCCCAGTTGACTAAAAAAAGCCTCCCTCTAGCGAGGTAGATCACCATTGGTTATTGTCAAAAATAATCTCATTTCGATTCCGATTCTAATTCCTATCTGAACCAAACTAGCAAGAGGCAGGGGAGGCCATTCTGATTCCAACCACGAACCAAACAATCCTTTTAAGTGCACCTAACGGTGTTTTGGTAAATGTAAAAGGGGCTTATTAGGATCTTTTACTTAGATAATGGCATAATGCCTCTTGATCATGATATAGACTAGTATTTAACAAGGGCATTCCTTATGGCTATGTTTGGTTTGAAGGAAAATGTAGGGAAATGAAGGAAAAGGTTGAAAAATCTTTACAAATCTTATATTGATTTTCCTGTCTTTCCCTTCTTTTCCTTACCTTTTCATTCAAACCAAGCATAACCTATGTGTATGCTATGATGCTTGAAGAAGCCTTGTTTGTTCGTTTCGCCATTGTGGGTTTTTGTTCTTCCAAGAATTTATATTTGGATTCTCTCACTTGGAACTTCTTTTTTATTTGTCATTATTTGTATTTATACATGCTCTTGGTTTAATGAAATATGCCATGCCAGGCTTGACTATGATACCAGAAATATATAACATTTTTGAAAAAAAAAAAAAAAACTTGTCACCAATCAATCAACCTGTATCGTAAACATGATAATCAATTAGGTTGGTATTTATCAAAATTTACGTGTGGATTTTTCTTATCTTTCTGACATCATAAATTTTCTATGCATATAATCACTTCTTGGTAAGTGGTTATACATTCATCTATATCTAATTATCTATAATTTATTTTAAATTACAACTAATAACCCCATATAATGATAATAAAATTTTCCTATAAAGCATTACAGGCATTAAATATTAGGCATAGTTTAGGAAATAGAAAAGTTTAAAATTGGTAAAAATGATTAAAGAATCTGCACTTTGGATAATAATGAGAAATTTGCCAAAAAAAAATCCATCCTCCAAACCCTTCTTTATCATGGCAGTTTCATGTTCAAAACTAAGAGATATTTAAATATTTGCTTAGAAAAACTTGAGTGTTGGGATAGGAAATTGGATGGTGGGATTTGGTTGCAGTTGGTGGAACTATGTTCACTGACCAATTGAGCCAGCTGGTATATTCAGCCATTTGCCGATGCAGTGCAATTCTAGACTTTTCGATGGGTGAAAAGATCTTAAGGCTCGGTTTAAAAATTAATTTCGTTTACAAGGTTTTGCACTGCAACATTTATATTTGCACTCTTCCCAAACTGAGCCTAGAGGTTGGGTTTGAATTTTGAAACCGGTTGGGTAGGCTCAATGTAAAGATGAAAAATATTAATAACTGTAGAATAAGTGAGAAATAATAAAAGTAAAATATAGAGACGTTGATATCTCATATCTACATAAAAATGCATAGGGTGTTGTCTAATATATCATTGCTGAAGTCACTATTGTTTTTTGTTTTGAATAACAAACAAAATCATAGATATTATGGGAGTAAAAGACATTGTGGGCTGGGCCAACTACGCATCTGTCATTCGAATGGAATTATGTACGTAGCATTGGGCTGGGCCAAATAGGCTTCGGTCATTCTGCCTAAATAAGATTTAAATCAAACTTTGAATTTATCTGGGTGGGCCCGAGGCTCATGCATTAAGCACTTGGGCTGACTCAAATTCATGAGTCTACGATACCCTAATACCCTATAGTTGAGACTTGAGAGGGTCTTTTGCAATTGGAAAAGCTTTGGCTGTTTGGGACAAACAGAGTGGAAACGTTTTTGGCATAGGTGTGGCGTGTGGGGTAAAAGAGTAGGGTGTTTGCTCCATTTTGCTATTTCATGCACAAGCATGTTATATCACCTGTTGATAGCTAGAAACTTAATAGAGCTAAAGAAAAGAAAGAGAAAAGATTGGTCGTTGATGTTAAAAGTCCCAAAGTTGACCAATGTAAAGAAGTACTATTCTTGAGTGCATTAACAACTAAGAGTCTGAGCATATCAAAATTTTGGATTTCTCCAGTTGATGAGCATAAGAGATTTCTTGAAATATTGCAAAAAGTTCTGCTTCTTCCACTGGTTTCAAACATTTTCTGCCTCCTTCGATTCGCAAACATTCCAACTATGCATTCAGAATAATAACTCCAAAAGAAAAGGAAGCTTGACTAATTTTCCCTGCATCAGTAAAAATGATACAATCAGTAGATAGATTAACATGTAGACATAGACGTGGGGGAGAGTCCTGAATTGAATTGGAATTTGTTTGAGAATCCAATATCCCATTAAAAATGATATTCACTTTTCAAATAATCCAAATATTAGAAATAATAGAAACCTTGAAAACTTTTTCATTTCGCGCAAACCAAACATAGTATAAAGCAATGGCATACCAGCTAAGGATTTTCCTAAATTCAGACTTGTTTGAAACTTTTATTATACAGTTAACCCAGGTAGGATGGGATGTGGCGTTTAAGATAATGTTCCGGGGAGATGCAAATAGAATAGATTGTGTGAAAGAACATTCAAGAAATAGATGATTTAAAGATTCTGGATTATTGTGACAAAAAAAACAGGTTTGATCTTGATTTCAGAATAGAATTTTTTCCTTTACAGGAAGATAACCATTTATGATATGCTAGAATAACAATTGACAACGAGGAGGGCACTAAAGGTGCCAAATCCATTTAATACAAGATTTGAATTGGTCAATTAATTAAGGTAAGTAATCCTGAAGTAAGTCCTTGTAAGCAATTGAAGATACTGAAAAGTTTGGACATTATCAAGCAAAATTTGGATTAAAGAGATATTCCAAGTGCCATTATGTATAAGATCAGTGAAAGTATAATTAACAACTGAGCAGGAATAGGGCGATTGATCGTGTAAAATTTGTCATTATTTTGGATTCAAGGAACTTGGGAAATTGCATTTGTAGAAGTTTCTAAGACTAGGAAACCAACCTCGTTAAGTAGGTTCTGAATTTTTGGAGCAGTAGATTTCCAAAAATAAGAACTGGATTTAGAGATGGATTGAGGGAAATTTTCATTTTGGGGAAGGTATTTAGATTTCCATAATTGAGCCAACCATTTTTGCTGCTCATTGAGGTAACACCAAACAAGCTTTTTGAGAAAGACTAAGTTGACCAACTTGATTTCTCTGAATCCTAGGCCTCCATAAGCTTTAGGAATAGCTAATTTATTCCAAGAACACCGGTTATAGGGATATGGGTTAGTATTCGATTTACCCCACCAAAATTTTTTTATGATATGGTCAATAGTAGTAATGGTTTTTTGGGGAAGTTGTGTTACAGTCATGGTATGATTAGGAATGGAATGAAGTACAGATTGTATAAGAATTCTCCTACCCGCTTAACTAATAGCTGACACTTTCCAAGTGTTAAACTTATTTCTAAGGTTGTCCAGAAGGAAAGAAAGTTGAGAATGTTTATTTTTGCCCTAGATTAAAGGAAGACCTAAGTATCTAGAATTTTCAGGAAGATTTTTCATTTGGAGTTGTCTCCTAATCATTCTTTGATGTCGATGATAGGTGTTCTTGCTAAAATAAATTCCAGAATTTTCCAAGTTAATTAACTGCCCTGAAATATTTTGGAAGTTATCAAGAATAACTTTGAGATTATTCAATTCATCTCGGTGACTCCTCACAAATAAAAGAATATCATCGGCAAAAAGAAGATTAGAAATAGTGGGGGCTCTAGATGTGATTTGTAGACCTTGAAGTTGGTTCTCATTTTCAGCTTTGTAAATCATTCGAGTTAAGTATTCCATGGCCAGAATAAAAAGATAGGGGGAAAAAGGATCCCCTTGTCTAAGACCTCTACTAGATAATATTTTACCCTCAGCAGTACCATTTATAAGAATAGAGTAGGAGACAAAAGAGATGCATTTTAGAATGATTTGGCAGATATCCTAGGAAAATTCTAAGGCTTTTAAAACTTCAAGAAGAAAAGACTATTCAAGTCGATCATAGACTTTTGCCATGTCTAATTTAATAGCCACATAGCATGTACCCCGTTTGTGATGTTTGAAATAA